TGACAGTGATTTAGGACACAGCCTTACCAGGTCGGCAGTCTTCTTGGTGCCCTTGGCCTTGGCTTTCATCTCCTCCTCCTCTTCCTTGCTTAGCTCCTCCCCTACACTTTCTTTCAATCGCTTCTTGACCATCAATGAGAAGTAATTGAATGTCCGGTCACGTCTAAAAAAAAAAGAAAAAAAAATTTCAAACTTTACAATTACAACTCATGTAAACATTTCCAAAGCACTACTTTCTCTCACAAGGCATGAGCTTTTTATGGCTTGATATAATTTTTTTGTGTTGGGTTTACACTTTTCTCGAGGACGTCCTGCAGGCCAATGGGAAAATTGTGGGTTTGTGAGAACAGATCAAGTAATTCAAACATATTTTGTCGTCTTTTCTTTGGCTTTTCCTAAACAGAGCAAATCTGTGTTTCACTTTGGGACAACTTTTTTCAAGGGAAAATCTGTCTTACAACTCCCAAAACCAAATAACCAGGAATCTCAGATGCTTTTTTACAACTTTTTACTGCCATGATACAAAATAACCAAAGCAGACTTCTGAACGTTCCTGTTCATGTCACCAATACTGGCACTGTGCTAATAAACTGTATTGATGATGGCAAAACCCTCGCAATAAGAATTCTCATAATAGCTCTTACGTAAAGCCCGGTTAATAACCCCACCAGACTTCAAAGCATTAATGAAGTGGGATAGCTTTGTGGGAAGGTACTCAAGCTTAAGTATGACACTATTTGTCGGGCGTTAAGAACTGTGAAGGGTTTGGGAAAAGCGGCAAACCCACTTTACAGAGGGTTGCTTCAGAAGGTTTTGCTGTGCGTGGGCTAACTCTGCAGGCAAAGTATTTGGGACAAACACGAGGAAACGGCAAAAGATGTACAAAGGCACGGCAACTAGTCTATTCTTTTGAGACAGTAATGATACAGACATATTCAAAACCCACCTTCCAAATTCCTCCTCTGCCTCCTCCGCGTTGAGTGTCTTGTGCGTAGCGACGGAGGTGAAGCTGTACCAGGAATCCACAGGGTGGGCCTCAAAGGATCCGTCCGCCTGCTGCTTGAAGATGAAATAACTGGAGTTCTCACTGACCAAGCCTTCCTTCTTGCCCTTGTACCTGGAGAAAAATGGCCCAAGCACGTTTGAGTTGGTTCACTACAGTTCAATAATAACGACGTCATGTGGAACTGTACACAAATGAATTCAACACATTTTGGTACCGACGGATTCTCAATGTGTCTGTCCCTGCACAAAGGGCCTAGACCATCTTGCTTGTTCACTGAAAACTTAAGTGTCATTTGTTTGCATAAGACTACTAGTATTAAATGCAACTCTAATGACATGGCTCAGTAAAGAACGCACCAAGCACTTTTTTTTTAAAGTCAAGTAAAGCTGTGCCCTAAAGTTGTGATTGTGGCTTCAACCAATGCGCCTGCCTGTGGAAAATAGATTCAGCCGCTGGGCAGCGGCTTCCAAGGCCACACTTGCTACCGCTAGCCATAGCCATGACTTTCAAACGCAGCTTCACGCTCACTTCCTCCCCGGCGCCCCGATCTGCTTGAGTATCCATGGCTGGTCCTCCTCCTTGTACTTCTTGGCCTGGATGCCATACTTCTTCCTCCTGGCCTCCTCCCGCCTCTCCCGGCCAAACTCGCTGCCCGCCCCCGACGTCGGCATATCCGGGTTCAGCATCTTGAACTCCTTCAGGTTGTTCTCTCTCTCCATCTTGGCCTGTCAGGAAAGTGGCCGTTAACTGTTTGGTTTAAAATTGAACCCTCTACAGGTGGGGGATGCTGTCTAGGCAGTGCGGTCTCTTGGAATCTCCCTAATTGAAGCTTCCTTGTGGTTTAAAAATGCTAAGGAACACATTTACTTGTCTCAAGAGACAACTACAATAGTGCATTAATTGTTGGCCATCTTGAATTGAAAGCGAGGTAAAATTTTTCTTTTTGGGACCCTTAGAATAGTGAGAGTAAAATTGACATTGACGATATAAACATTCACACAAACTCATGCCAGTTTTGGTTCAGAATAATTTAACATCTGTGATAAATTATATCTAAATGTTTTAAGCCACATTTAAAAAAAACTGAAAGTGAAGTTTGGAATGCAAAATAGTGCGATACCACCCCGTTTAACAGATTACACTGAATACGACAGATTCAGGGAACAAGATAGCAAACGGCTTCCCCTTGAATAAGATCTCTTTGCTTTGACTGCGGTTGAAAGGTTTATTTAAGCTGGACTGGATCCTTGAAAACTAGGAAATGTTGAGGGGAAAAACTGCTTACCTGTTTCCACTTGGACAAATCGACGTTGTCTCCTCGGTTGAACTGCATGATGCTGTACCTTTTGGATGAGTTCCTGTCACCAAAAATTGACTACATTTTTACTTTTGGTCCATTAACAAAAATATCTCTTTCAGATTTGCCCGTCCAGTTTAGCTTTTTTGAGCAAAATAGGAGCAAAATATTCAACTCAAACACGGACACTAATAAATTACGAAAAAATATGTAATAGTCTGATAGCTGGATTTGTTTGGGAGTATAAACCCCAGAGGTGAAGACTTCCTCAGGCAAATATTGCTTACTTACGATTTAACTCTGACAGTGCATTCTGGTGGCTCCGGTAATCCCACTGCTGAAGTGGTAGGTCTTGACAGACCTCTAAAATTCTGGGATAGCAAAGTTGGGCACATTCAATATTTTATTATTCCCAAATTTTATGATCTTTTACACATCAAACAATATTCTGCCAGAAGTACAGGTATTCTACCACTAGAAAACTGAAATCTGGTTTGATTATAGACATTCTATATGGTATCTGTTCACCACTGTACAAACACCTGGTGTGAGATGTAAATGCAATCAAACATATGAAGCCAAACCACCGTGGTTGTGTATATATTGCACATGTCCACTGTAATATTAGATTCATGTTGGAGCCATCAACAGTAAAACACCAGAAACTTGTGTGAACTGCGGTAGTCAAGAAGTTACAGCATAATGGTTTGTGATCTGTGGGGTGTGGGTACGGGTTCGAATCCTGGGTCAAAATTGTGGACGGGGAGAATATTTTTTTCAGGAAAATAAAGCCCAAATGTATATACCGGATGTTATGGTTGGTTGAGCCCCATAGTGACTATACATGTGTGCTTGGTTGTGAACGGTGGTTTGGCTTCATGTGATTGCATTTGCCATAAAAGTTCTAGTCTGGTTCTGATCTGAAGACTCGCTGGTTTTTGTGTTAGGCATGTTAGGCCTACTTCCATGACTTCCGTTCAAGGAACGCGACCACAAATCTTAAGCAAAACAATCGATCGGCCTTTTTTTTATATATCTACTAAAAATATTTTTAAGAGAAGTAATAAGCTGAAAAATGTTAAGTATGATCTGATCGACAATAGGAGCGGATCCACTTCGGTCTGAAGACTCACAGTTTTGACGGACATAACTGGCAACTGCAGAGCTTCAAAGGCAACCCAATCGTGCTAACGTCTCGGGTTTTTCTACCATGTCTACAGTGACGTGACCTTTATTGTTGTGTGACTTTTATGCCCTGGCCACGACCATTATTTTGTTGGGAAGGACTTTAGATCACATCTTGTTTCACAAGGGTTGCTACCCCCGACATGAATGTGAATTTGTGTCTTTGATTGTAAACCACAGAAAATAATTTGGGGAAAACTTCTGATTTTCTCTTGATCTTTATAAATCTCAGAGGAAAACCAAATATGAAGATAAATACCCATAGCTTTATTGGACTGTTCCGACCCATCTTTGGTTCACACGGCCACGGTGCATGTTGCATGCTCACACAGCGCTCGAGGCTACATACTGTATGTATGGGGATTTTTCCTGAAAAATTTTCATCGAATTGGTTCGTTTACCCAAAGTTTCTGTAGATAGCTATGACGCACAATGAAGCCAGAACGCATTGGTTCAAAGAGGGAGCCATTGGACTCGGAGGTCAGTGTATTCTGGGAAATCTGTGCTTTATTGTTAAACAACAACAACTTTCATTCACAAACATGCCTTTTTAATACCAAAGTTACCGGGGGGGGGGGCAAACTTTACACTGTCACCAGGCATGACTGACAGTCTGACCATGGTCTGACCATGGAGCTATACGAAAGGAATTTAATTTACGACAATAACAGTTAGTTTTTCCATGGAGGATTTGGCAATCAACTTTTGACTCAAAATGTCCATTTGCTCCATTAAAGTTCAAGGCAGGTAGGTAGCATTTAAATGTCATTCATTTTGAAATTTTCAGATCTGTGTGGGAACTGGGATGCTAAATGTTGTGGAATTTTCTTTTTCTTTTGTGATAAATTAATTCCTACCTCCATGGTCTATCTCTGCCAGCCTTGGGCCCAGTCATCCCAGATTATATTAGACATATTGTTGACTATTTGCCAACTACTGGACAGTGAAAACAGGCCAAGAAATATTTGCATTACCAGGATACCTCGTAGGCCTACTAACACTTCTGCTAACATTGACTGGCAAAACGCCACCTAACCTTTCTACGTGTATGTCTCCACAGAGCTAGCTGAGAATTCCAAGCTTGGTGTTGGGATGGATTGTACGTTTTTCCTTTTAAAGTGGACATTAATAGATGCATTAAGGGCGCTATTTGGTAACTCATTTTCTCAATGAAGTGTACCAGTTATATTTGTTTGTATACAGCTGGCATTGAATTGAAGCCACATAACTGCTGAGTTCACCTGACAGAATGTATGAGTGCGTAACCTAGTTGTTAAGGTTCAGAGCTCTGAATATGAGGTTGTCTGCATCTGATATCAGTTTTGTTCCTCTGCCCTAAAAACTCATAGTATTATCCTTCTGGTTCTCAAATCATTTGATTTTAATATTTTTTTGGGGGGGGGGGATATTAGTTGGAGTTCTGTATGGAGTTACCAGCGTGTGTGTGGGACATCCTTTTGACACCATTAAGACGAAGATGCAAGCCCAGGCTGGCTTTGAGAAGGATGGACTCTTCAGAACCCTCACTAAAACCTTCAAAACGCAGGGTATCATTGGATTCTACAGGTAAGATGTGGGTCGTTCCATGAGGTTGGGGCACAATTTGTGACGGTGTCCTTGTTACATGGGTAACTTTTACCACCTGTCATGACCTGTAGAGTAGGTCATCAAATCTGTAAAAATAACACACACCTCTGTATTCAGCCTTGTAAGATGTATAACAATGTCAATTTGGAATCCACATGCAGGGAAATAGCTGTTCATTTTTACGGAACCCGTGTAACAATGGACGCCGTCACAAATTGTGCCCCAACCTCATGAAATGACCCTAATGTGAACGTTTCTTTATTGATGACAAATATTTGTAGATTCTTCTCAGAAATTAACATACATGTAACTGTCGCTATGCTCATATCCCCATACAGAGGCTCTATTCCTGTGCTGTGGGGATCGGGCATCTACAGGTCCACTCAGTTTGGAGTTTTTGAATCTGTGTAAGTCTTAAGAGAGTATTTAAAATTCACTTGGTTCTCCTAATGTGCCTAGGCCGTGTGCCAATTATGCACTAGTCTATGGGCAGCGGCTTGCATAGACTTGTGTGCAATATCAAGTCTCAGCCAGGTGGTTCAGACATGACTTAAGTCTCAGAGAAAATTAGAAGGGTGCTGTGATGCGTCAGATCAGTGAAAGACAACGTCGGCTTAGTCCTTAAAAAAAACTGACTTTTTGAAAATTATAAAGGTCCTACCCTCTTGTAGGGGCCGGAAATGGCCTTTGACCTGCAGAAGTGCAGATCCATTTTCAAAACATTAATATCAAAGCGTAGCACATAAATGTGTGAATCTCTTTACAAAATGCATTGATTTTTTTGTTTACAATGCCTTTGCAGATACACCTTCCTAGATAACCCATTTTGTAAATATGAAATCCCTCTGACAGGAGGCTTACAAGTGTGAGTATTAAAGACCTTTTTGTCTTGCTGTTTTTTTTCTTTTCCAGTTTAATTAAATGCCACACAGTTAAAATTTCTATCTACTCTTTTTCAACCGTGGTGCTGCTATTTTCGCATTTCTGTCACGGGCAGTTAGACATAAATTACCAGATTTGACAGTCTGTTCCCAACCTTTCTATGCATATCTGATGAGGGGCAGTGTTGTAATCAAGACCTCTTAAGACCATCATGAGACCGACTCGGACAGGAGACCTCCAGTCTGTATTCAACTCATAAGCTATTCAAATGAACTGTAACAAAACCATTCCTTTGTCATTACTTTCCCTGCTACTCATGACTGGTCTTGTGACTGGTCTTCCGGTGTAGAACTAACTCGGTGTGCTGTTCCATTCTTCAACTGCTACAGGCGAGTGTTGCTGGCAGGTGCGTGCGGCTCAACAGCCAGGGCTATCATTGAGTCGCCTCTAGAACTTGCAAAGGTAAGATGTGCCTGCCTCCAAACAATCTATTTTACAGAGACATCATTCACATCTCTCCCTTGTTTGTAAATTAAGAGTGTAGTTGTCATTGTTGAGTACTTTCAAATGTTTCAGGGGATTCCAAAGAAGAGAAAATCCTTTTCTTGAGGAGGAGAGGTTTTCTGTCGATTTCTCCCCCCCTCCAGTTGGTTGAGGCTTCAGTCTAGCACTTCATATCTTTGGGGAAAAATGCTTTATAAATGTAGCATATTGCTACCACAATCAGTGGATCCCTCCCCCTGGCTCTTTTAGGGTTAAAGATTCATTTCATTTTTATTTAGTTGTCACAAAGTGATTCCATTTATTACAGATCCGAAGACAAACCCAGCAGACCTGGCAGTTTAGAGGGCTTTATAAGGTAAATAGACGGTGTGTGATTAGACAAATTTTATCCTTAACCTGCTCCTCTCAGTTCTTTCAAAATCTACAGCCTGATTTTGGAGAATTTGGCAGAGTTGAGTGTGGGAGAGCTTCAGCCATAATAAGATTATATTGAAAAAAAAACTTATGGGGAAAAAGTTTGAGGATTAAAAGACAGTGTTTGATGTTGTGGAGGTACTGATGGCGAGAGGCTTGCTTAATTTGCAGAAAGTTGATTTTACTCACCAGCCCCCCCAAAGATATTCTAGCATGCATTTCTTGCGACTGCTGCTGTGCCTGCAAGGTTTGAATCCCAACTCGAGATTCAGGAACAGACTCAAGTCCAATCTTTCTTTGTGATCAAAACTCGACGGGGCTTAAAGAGTTTGGATGAGGATTTATAGCCTTGGATGGTCGATGACCTGAAACTTGTGATGTGTTAGCGCCAAGGTCGTCGTCATCCTTTGCACAAAAGTCCCATGAAATTGGCCCACGAAAGGCCAGAACCTGTGTTCCATGTAGACAATTTTCACCGGGTAACACATTCACACTTCAATCTTGTCAGGGTTTCGGTGTCCACTGGTGTCGGACGATGGGCCTGATGTGCACCTACTTCATCCTGATTGACACCCAGAGGCGACACTTCCCCCAGGTCTTCAACACCAGCGTCATCGGCCCGTTCCTTGTCTCGGGAACAGCTGCAACATATCCTTTTTTTTTTAAATCAATTTTTATTCAATGGATAGAACTGGATAGTCCGAAAAGGATGTCTGCAGAAATTGTTGACAAAGTTATTTTTCTTGTCAGCAAATTTGACTGTGACGGAAGGGGGCTCCCTATCTTCAGGTTTTTTCTAGTATTTCCCTCTTTGAAGAGTACCCCCAGGTGTTGGACCAGTCACCCAGCCAACCATCTTCGAAACTTAAGTCAGGAGTGCCTTGTATTCTTATCCTGGCAAACCTTTTCAAACAAAGGTGAAAACTTGATTATTCATTACATTTTGGATTTTTTGGCCCTGCCCGAAGTGTACTTTAACACTGTATACTCAGTGTATGCCCCCTAAGGCTTGTGACAAAAACCCCACAAGTGTACTCGGGCGGGACTCAAACCTGCTTACTAGTGCAGACGTCTTAACCACTCGACCACTGAGCTTGCCGGTGTCGGCTGTCGAGTCCCACCAAAGTACGCTTGTGGTTTTTTTCACAAGCCTTCGGGGCATACACTGAGTATACAGTGTTTAAATACACGTCGGGCAGGGCAAAAAATCCAAAATTTATTTACATCTCCACGGCTCGAATCCATCCTTGATATGAATATTTATTTACTTAAATTGAGGTATCGAAGGTTTACATTCCTTGACTGACAGTCTCACATTAGCTTGGTGGATCGTCTGGCCCCTGGAATACATGAAGTCACAGGTGCAAGGAAACTATGGAAAGTGAGTCAGAAATGGTGTAAGACTGAGTCAGTTAGAAATTTGTAAGGTTTTCGTGTGTGCTTTGATGATGTATTTTATTTTGTTAACACTTTCTGTTGAATCGTTCTCCTCCCCTTTTGAGGGCAGATTGGTTTCGATTGTTTGAAAACTTGGAACGTTACTCTGGTGACCCCTTTTTTGGGGGGGGGGAGCACAGTGCATTTTCAGAGGAAACAGTGATTGCAGTGTGCAAACCTGCACTTTGAAGTAGCCAGCTGACCCAGACAAGGGTGTTGGACAAATGGAAAGAGTTCTGCACTTGGAAACAGAAGGTTGTGGGCTCAAGTCTCCGCCGAGTAAGATGGCCAAGTGGAGATAAATCACAATGTTGACATGAAACTACTTGCTTTCTCCAACTCTCAACAGGGATATGCCCGTCTTGACCCGGATGCGACTGGTCATCAAGGAGCGAGGGGGTTTCCTGGCCTTGTATCGGGGCATCGGACCGGGCACCATCCGCAGTTTCATCTCCAACGGTACCAGCATGATTGTCATGGCCAACGCACAGAAGAAGGTGTCCGAGTGGGGCTTACGAGGGTAGCAGTGGAGGCAGCAGGGAACCGGTGAAATATCCTCCGTGCTCTGTCCGGCTTTGTAACTGGCTTAGTGGCTACTTTACTATAACGGTCATACTTGCCAGTTATGATCATTTTTATATATGCTATAACACATATATTGAATATTTTGCCAGGACATATTTTCAACAGAGAACTTTTTTATTTTTGAAGCGTGCATTTTTCTCTTTAAAATGTGAAAGGTTTGTGCATGAAACGTTAGGACTAGCCTAACTGACAATGAGACATAAACAAAGAGTTGTGCCGATCTGTTGATTGATCTGTGAACAAAACTTGCCAAAAAACTGTAGGCGAGCTTTCCTCCGAATCCACAAAATATGCTGAAATAAGAAAGTGGTATAGTTTTGACAGCAAATGCTAGTCAAACAGAAGATGGTTGACTTCTTGCAAAATCTACGAAGTACACTGAAATAAAATACGTACAACCAACTGTCGTCAAAACAAAATTGCAGAGACCAGTCAAATTACTCTTTGTAACTAAAAACGTCTGGTAAAAAGACTGGAGTAAATCAAGAAAAACAAAAAAGAATTCAGGATATTGGGACCCTCAGACTTTGCTCTGCATAACAATAATAGAGGTTATGCATGGCAGCCATCTCTGTGGGAAGCACTTTTGTGACGGAGGAATAGCACAAAAGGTCTACTCACAGTTATCCCTGTGGAACAAAAACTCCAATGGCCGCCATGCACAACCTCATATATGTTATAAGAGGGGTGTTTACATTGGGAGTCAACTGCAGTTGGAATTATGCCTTTAGACAGGCTAGGATGGTCCACTTCTGACTCAATATTCACAGTAATTATTTATTTATTCAGAGCATTTATTCAACGCAGTCCTTTGAAGTTTACTGTGACACCTAAAAAGAGTTTGAGCATTTTGGATCACACTTTTCCGTCACACTCTATACTGATATTTCTCTCCACAGTGACCACCTGTTTTTGTTATTGTTGTTAAGGTGCCAACCGGTTTTCATATATTTTGCTTTAAATTTTGCTGGTTTATTGTTTAGTTTTGTTTTCCTTCATATCAACTTGGTATTCAGTATTTTTAGAGTTCTTTCTGATGCAGGGCTAGGTTATTGCACTTTTTGGCAATGCCAAGCAAAATGAGAAGTTTTCATCACCGAATTCATTATTATTTGTAACTCATGAATAAACATGTTTTTAAAAAGTAAAGAAGAGTAACAGATAGTACCATTATCTTTTAATTCCACTTTAATTTTTGTGAACTACTTTTTATGTATGAGTCATGAATAATAATAAGTTCAACAACAAAAGAATTATCTCCACTTTCGTTTGGAATTGCTTAAAATAAATTTTAGTTTGCTTTTTTTCCTGTTCCCTTTGACTGTTTTTACATTTCATTATGTTACTGTTAGATTTGTTCCCATTACTCCTTGTCAGGGTACTTAAAAATTGATTTTCCTTCCCCATGAGGTATTTTTAAATATTGTGAAACTTGCACAGAGACACTAAAGGGTAACTGTATTGTGACAAGCAGTATTATGAGGAAAAATTTCTGAAATTCTTCTGTGCTGTTGACTAGAAGTAGGTAGGAATGAAAGGGTACGAATACGAATCAGTTTGATTATCATGAAAGATAAATTGCATTAATGCATTCATGTAAATAAAAGAGCATTTTGTTTCAAGAAATTTTTTATATAATATTATGTAATGGTTACAAAAGCTAGAGATGTTACTGCATAGTGACCAGTGGCGTAACTACGGGGAGAGGGGGAGCACGGGGAGGCTTCTGCCCCCCTCCCACGGAGGCCCAAGCCCTCCCCCGGGTGCCCCCCCCATTTGAAATTTTGAAATGAACAAAAAAACATATATACCTAGTTCAATTCTTTTCAGTGCCACCTGAAAAAAAATTTGTACCCCAGGTGCCCCCTCAACTGTAGCACCCTCAAATGTAGCGCCTTAGTTACGCCACTGATAGTGACTTAATTTTGGAAATCATGATATGCAATGTTGGATGTGGGTCTAATGTTCAGGAACTTAAGCAGCCTTTTGTAGTTCCCTGTCTTGTCTTGCTGGAATTAGTGATATTTGAGTTGTGATTGTCATGGAAACAGACATGGTACTGATGAGACACTGCCTGTACAAAAGCATGCCGATCAGGCCCATGTGATGCATTTGTTTGGAATTTTCCTTCATTTTCAGCTGACCGTGGGATTAGTTGAACTGAGGCTGCATCCGAATCTCTTGTCTAGAGCTAGGTCTAGGTCTTCACTCCATTAGAAATGCATGGAGAAGCATAGACGATAGACCTAGCCGAAGTTCTGGAAGCCCATTTCGGACACGGCCTGAGACTCCACAGATAGCCTTTTTGGAGCATCTGTATGTCATCTGACTGTGTCCGAATGATAAAGCAATTTGCAGAGTCCTAGTTGCTAAGACTGGTATGGGAGCAGCAAGTGAAATAAAGTGTTCAACTTCAGCTTAACCTCAGGCCTGTTGGTTGCACACGGATCTGGATCTCCGTCAGTGATCCCAAACTTTGGTTCGCACCATCCATGAGGCAGGATCTGATGCTAATGAACCAGTGATGCATCACTGATTGCGATCAAGATCTACGTGACGCAAGCAAGCCTGTCGTTTCAACCCCAGTGCAATTTCTCTATTCCAAGTTAACTTTTCTTATCAAAAATTCTTTAATTTTTAAAATGCAGTCTCCTCCGCTCGAAGTGGAAGTAACTGTAGAAAATTTGCTAGAACTTTCTGACATTTACTTGAAAATTACCTTTCCAATATTGTCTCATTTCCCCAATGATTGTAATGCAGAGTATCTAAGTCACAACTTCTTGCCTACAAGTGTAGCTGTCTGTCAATTAACTACTGAACTTGTATAATGCTGCACTGTGTAAGACATCTGTACTAGATTATATATTAGAAGTATACATTGGAGTTAATCATTGATTTAGCTTTCTTGTCATTGTTTTTCTCCATGAGTGGATCCAGATTTATCGGAGCCCCTCAGCTCTTATGTCCAGTTATTGCGGACAGGCATGCATTACATTGTTACTGATGTACAACTAACCACCAGCGACAGAATTTGTTTTAAAGTGGGGGCCCAGTTATTAGACCATAAGGCATCAGCTTTTAATAAGCCAATCCATTGATCCCCACCCCGTATAGGACCTGCAAAAAGTGGGGGCCAACCCCCCCCTGGTCGAAAAAGTGAGGCCCCCTGTGTTTGCATGACATGTTAATAACCTTACAGACTGTTTTTTTTTTATTTTTACTACGATTGTCATTTCAGTTTCATGAAGTCATTCTTTTTTTTTTATTTGACCTTCACCTATCCACAGCTGTTCTTTGAAATATTTCCTACTTGAAAAATTTAGCTTCCCAGGAATATTTGAGAATTGTAAAATAGCGTGAGCAACATTGACTGTGTGTGTACATATGGAAAGACCAGTTGTTTATTAAAGCGAGAGAGAAGAAAGCTATCCCTCTTGTTTGCATCAGTTTTTATGTTCAAACAGTAAACTGTTGAAAAAATATATATATTCTTGAGTCCAAATGCCACGAGGCGAAGTCTCCGTCAGGCGTATCAGGTATTTGAAAAAAGGCATAGATTTTTTTAACCACTTTACTGAATGAGGGCGCTGTGTATTACAAACAATTCAAACCAGAATGGCGGACCAAATTCACGAAATGGAGGACGAAATTGATGTCGAGGGATTTGACGACAAAGAAGGGTAACAGCTTGCTTACTTTGTGCCTGATTATTTTGTTTCACGAGGTAGATGGGGGTGTCAAAGATAGCTTGTAGTTTATGGTGGATTTTTGGGAAGACTTCTTGTGGGCTGAAGTTTTTTTTATCATTAGTTTTCAGGGTTGCATCAGTTTCGTTATTTTTGTTTCCTTTGACGATTTTCAGTTAAATTTCACTGCAGTTGAAGGGGGGAGGGAAAACTGCAATATTCTAACAAGTACTAGCTTATCCTTGTAGGTTTTCGGCCCGTCTATGGTGGTGGTCATTCATAGCAATGTTTTTTCTCTAGAAAATATGAATTCAGGACAGGAGTGAACAGTACTGTGGGTTCCAACGTCGGCTCCTCTTCCTTCAATTTGGACATAAATAACGAGGAGCCCTATGATTGGTTAGTGTGACCCCCAGTGCGCCACAGCCAACTGCCATTTCAACCCATGCAGCTAAGAATTGCACACACATGTATGGAAAGTGGCTGTAGCCAATTTCCGTGTCTTGTGTATCAATATAGCAGCCGTAGTCAAAGATTTGGTCACGGCTCGTCTTCGCAAGTACACATGTAAACTGCATGACTCTCAGACACTGATCAGGAAATATTTGCACCTTCTTTTTGGAAAACAGCATGGTTTTAGCCCTTTTTGTTCTTGGTACTCAAAAAAAAAGGAATGTAAGCTATCTTACATAAAATTCTTGGGGGAAATGAAGCAACATATCTATAGGTACTCAACTCGAATGGAATAGCTGTTCATCCCCTGTTAAATGTCATGCATAGCCTCTGGCGAAAAA